CTCCCCGGATAATTCAAGATTCCCTTGTCCTCTTTTCTTTTTTTCTTTTTCCCTTCTCGTACATGTAACTCGTTCCCGCTCCTCTCTCTCTCTCTCTCTTCCCTCCCCGCCCATTTCTTCATCTCTCTGTTCTTTCATTTTCTTCCCACTCCCACGCCACAATCCCGACGACAGACAGAAAAAACAAAACAACAAAAAAAAGAAAGAGAGAAAGAAGAGAAGGAAAACTTTACGAATCTTCTTGACGAGAAAGAAGATCATCCGACGATATAGAACGACGCACACCGATCGAAATAAAGCGCATACAGCACATCTCCCCGTGACTGCTCCTCACGCGAGTAGGGTGCGTCGTCGTGACGACACGCGCCGCTGAAGAAGAAAAAAGAGAAGAAAGTCGCGATGGGGTCGACTGCTTTTGGAGACTTTTACGTACGACGACGACTACGCTGGATATGATACCCTCGTCAAGAGAGAGAGAACGGGCTCTGACCATCTTCGCTACAGGACTTTTGCAAAGATTCGACCCTACCTGTCTGCAATGTACGTCTTCTCGGATGATGTCAGGTTACGCGACGATCGAGGGGGCAGAGGACGAGGACACGAATTCTTCTTCTTCTCCTTCTGTCCTCTTTTTCTTCTTCTTTTTCGGATGGAGGCGACGCGAGAGAAGAAGGAGGAGCTGACCATTCGCAGATCCTATCACCGGATAATGGCCAAGATGGTCCTTGGGGAGGATGCAAGCTAAAGGGCATCTCCCTCAGCAATGGTCGACATCTCGGAAACCTGGGCTCCATACTCTTGTGTGCCGTAGCCATCACCGTCTCCGTCATACTGCTGCTCCGTTCCGAGAAGAAGAAGGCGGCGGTCGGTCGTCGGTATGCCAGATCCCCTCACCCCCCCCCCCCCCCCCCCCCCCCCCCTCTCACACACGCACGCACGCACGCACGCACGCACACGCACACGCACGCACGCATCGCTCAAGGGGGTTGGAAGTTGAGCTGACGGGCTGCGGGAAAACAGGGAGATGCAGTTGTTCCTCATCGGCTACATGCTCGTCAGCCTGTGCGAGATCTTCTCGGTCGGCGAGTTCCCTCTGGACCGCGACGTGCGCAACGCCTTCACGGCCATCCACATCGGCGCCGTGACGGCCACGACCTGGGTGCTCATGGTCAACGCCGTGGTGGGCTACCAGCTCATCGACGACGGCACCCCGCTGTCCGTCGGGCTGGTCCTCGGCTCGGCCGCGGCCCTCTTCGTCGGCACCGGCTACATCGCCCTCGACACCGGTTTCGACTTCACCGGCTACTGGGCCTCGAGCTACGACGGCCCGCCCAACCGCCACGTCGCCCTCTACGTGCTGTACCAGCTCATGCCGCTCGTCTTCCTCGTCGCCTACTACGCCCTCGAGTCCGTCCTCGTCATCCGCGTCCTCGGCGAGACCCGCCCGATGATCTACCTCACTGCCGCCGCCGTCCTCTTCGCCGTCGGCCAGGTCTTCAACTACGCCGTCTCCCGGTACATTTGCGACGGCACCTCGGGCAAGATCGACGGCGCCCTCTTCGAGACCCTCTTCACCCTGCTGTCCGTCGTCATGATCTGGATATTCTGGTCTAGCATCACCGAGGATGACTGGCCTTCACCCGCAGCCTATCCGTGATCTTACTTACCCCCCCCCTTTTCTTCTTCTTCTTCTTCATTTCACATTTCTCGCTCATCTGTCTCGACCACCTCTTTCTTCCTTCTTCTTTCCTCTTCTCCTTCTTCTTCTTCTTCTTCTTCTCCTTCTTCTCCTTCTTCCCCTTCCCCTTCTTCTCCTTCCCCTTCTTCTCCTTCTCCTCCTCTTTTTTAAATCGACAACTTCGAAGCAAACACCAAACCAGAAAAGAAAAAAGAAAAAAAGAACGAATCTCTCCCCTTCTTCCAAACAACAATACGAGTCTAGACGATCAAGAAGAAAAACAGCCATTGTCTGTTGTTCTTCACCTTTCTACTGTTCCGGAGACGGCGTTTTATATATCTCTTTTGTATTTTCGGGTACCAGCGGCATCATCTGTTTCTTTTTCTAATGGTCGCAAATAAGCAAACCAAAACGACAGCCATCTTGTTATCTCTGCCTTGGTTGGGTCTCTATTGTTATCCGTCATCTTGTTTTGTATTTCCTCTTTTTCTTTTGCCATATATGATGGCCCCAGTATGGATCTGTTCTTGGTGGCTACTGGGGTGGCAGCAGGTTTTCTCCCCCCCCCCGTCTCTTTTGTCTTTTTTGCTTTTTATTTTTATTTCCATCATGATGCGTCGCTCTCTCTCTCTCTCTCTCTCTTCCTGCCTATCTGCTATGCAGGATATGTGGAACCATGCAGAGGAGATACTCAGCTTCTCATCTATCTGATCATCTCTTGTGTTTTTTTTTTTCCTTTAAAAAAAGAGACATGTCAGAAGAAGAAGAAGAAGGAAAAGGACAGGCCAAATAGCATCTCGTCAGTTTCTTGTTGTGGTAGTCGATAGTTGGTAGTTTTAGGTAATAGTAGGTTAGTATACCCCCGGGGTGGAGCGAATTTAATGACAATCCAAGGATGTTCTGTTCAAGCAACATGTTCTATATCATATATGTGTAAGATGTGCAGGATGTTCAAGGTATGTCGTGGAGACTGGCGAGAATGACGAGAGCAGTAGGACAAGATATGAATGGAGATATACTATTTGGAGAAATATATATATAGATAGATATAGATATAGATATAGATATACGTCCAGTATTACCGATGACGAAAGACGTTGGTGGAGGAGCTACGGAGCTAGACGAGGCTGCAAACCATTACTCCGTGCACAATTATCCATCAGTGTTGGTGGTGGTGGTGCCTACTCCATAAGTACGTACCGAGTCCCAACCGTAGCCTCGTGCACGGTGCTTCTCAATCTTTCCTCCAGTACCTCACTTCCACCTCGACCATTTTCTTCTCCTCCCTCTATGCTGTAACCCCTCTCTCTAGCTTCGTAGAGACACCCTGTCCATCCTCCCCTCGAACTCACCGCGACCCAATCTCAGCTCCTTTCCGTCTCCTTTTCCTATTCGCACCTCACAACCACCACCATGGCAGACGACTCAGACGGCGAGTTTGTAGTCGATGACCTATCCGACGATGACCAGACGGACCACAATGTCGGAGGAAACGACGGTATAGATCGAAACATGAATGGACGCCGACAACAACAACAACAACAACAACAAAAACGTGGAGGAGGAGGAGGAGGAGGGGGGGGGGGCGGTGGCGTCGTCGTCGCCAACGCAGCAGGACGCCCTTCACGTAGCAGTCGACAAGGCCAGGGCCAGGGCCAGGGCCAGCGAAGACCGAGAAGACGTGGCGACCGAAAGGACACGGCCCAGGCGTGGGAGAAGTCCAAGCGGACGTGGGAGACGAACCTGCCCGACGAGGACCAGGACGGCGTGCTCAACCTGACGGCTCTCGAGGCCGAGAGGCGGCGGCGGCTGCTGCGCGACACGACGCCCCTGCAGAGGGGCATCATCCGCCACCTGGTGGTGGTGCTGGACATGTCGTTCGCCATGGCGGACAAGGACCTCCTCCCCACGCGGCACAGGCTGACGCTGGCGTACGCGGCGGCCTTTGTGCGCGAGTTCTTCGAGCAGAATCCCATCTCGCAGCTGGGCATCGTCGGCATGAGGGACGGCGTGGCCGTGCGCGTGTCCGACCTGGGGGGCAACCCGGCCGAGCACCTCGCCAGGCTCAAGGAGTGGGAGGACCAGGATCCTCAGGGGAATCCGAGTCTGCAGAATGCTCTCGAGATGTGCAGGGGAGCTCTATTGTCCGTCTTTTCCCTCCTCACTCTTTCTTCTTCCAGTTTTTTTTTCATTTTTCTTAAACCCCTCCTCTCTCTCTCTCTCTCTTCTTTCTTTCGCCATACGTTTTGGGCCGAGATGGCTGACATCATCCATAGTCACACACCGTCTCACGGGACGAGAGAGGTCCTCATCATCTACGGAGCGCTTCTGTCCTCGGACCCGGGTGACATACACGACACGATAGACAGCCTGATAGCCGACCGCATACGCGTGTCCATCGTCGGCCTCTCGGCCCAGGTGGCCATCTGCGCCGAGCTGTGCTCGCGGACCAACGCCGGCGACGAGTCGCAGTACAGCGTCGCCATGGACGAGGTCCACTACAAGGACCTGTTCCTGGCCGCCACCACGCCGCCCGTCAGCCGCTCCGCCGACCAGACCGTGGCCAGCCTGCTGATGATGGGCTTCCCCTCGCGCACCCTCACCCCGGCCGGCACCACCAGCTACTGCGCCTGCCACTCCCGCCCGGTGAGGGAGGGCTACAGCTGCACCCGCTGCTCCGCGCGCGTCTGCCGCCTCCCCGCCGAGTGCCCCGCCTGCGGGCTCACCCTCATCCTCAGCACCCACCTCGCCCGCTCCTACCACCACCTCTTCCCTCTGCGGAACTGGGTCGAGGTTCCCTGGTCCCGCGCCGGCAGCTCGTCCGCCTGCTTCTCGTGCATGTGTCCGTTTCCCGACGCCAAGTCGCACCAGCAGGCTGGCAACGACGGCACTTCCGGTGACGCTGCTGCTGCTGCTGACGGGGTGGCAGATGATGGGAAGAAGAAGAAGAAGGATGCCGATGGAAAAGTCAAGGGTGTGAGTGAGAGTGGGAGGTACGCGTGCGAGACGTGCGGGAACCACTTCTGCATCGACTGCGACGTCTTTGCCCACGAGATTGTGCATAACTGTCCTGGGTGTCAGAGCAATGCGTCTGGTGGCGGTGCAGCGCCGGTAGAGTCAAATGGGACGGCTATGGTGGTTGATGGGTGACGTATCGTCTCTCTTTCCCTCTTTATTTTTCTTTCTTCTTCTTCTTCTTCTTCTTCTTTTTCTTTTTCTTCTCATGGGAGCGATACGATTAGCATTATTTTCCGGGAGTTTTTTTTTTCTTTTTTTTTTTGGTAAAAAAAGAAATATTCATGGAGGCAAGTATAATGAGTTGGATGGACAATTTTTTTTTAAAAAAAATAGGAAAGGATATAAGAGAAACAGACGACTTCTTTCCGCATACTATATTATTACTGTCTCGCAACCAAAAGAAGAAGAATCGTTGGATTTATATCATTAAAGAGCTATTATTTCTAGGACTGGGTACAATTTCCATTTCGGTCCGTACGACAAGCGCGCGCCGCCCCCCCCCCCCCTTCTCCTTCCGCGCCGCCGGAAAAAAAAAAAGGACTACTTCGTTTACTTCGTTACATATTCAAACATCAAACATGAGCGATTCCATGTTTACTCAACCATTACATTCAGGACGTGCGAGCGAAGCGAGGGGGAACCCCCGGTAGGGCCGCCCAAAGTAAAAACACAATACCCATCTCGCACGTATCGAGCCTCTGCGCCCAGGACGTGCGAGCGAAGCGAGGAGGAACCCCCGGTAGGGCGGCCGGGGGAGCAGAGACAGCTCGGCAGTGTGGACTCGCTCAAAGGTTCCCACGCTCAGCCTGCTCACGCTCGATAGCCTCGAACAGGCTCTTGAAGTTGCCGGCGCCGAAGCCCTCGAAGCGGTTGCGCTGGATGATCTCGATGAAGACGGTTGGGCGGTCGACGAGGGGCTTGGTGAAGATCTGGAGGAGGTAGCCGGCCTCGTCGTAGTCGATCAGGATGCTCAGACGCTCGAGGGTGGCGAAGTCCTCCGCGAGGCGCCAGCCGCGCCTCTCGGTCTTGAGCCTCTGGCGCATGGTGGAGTAGTAGGTGGGGGGCACGGCGATGAAGTCGACGCCCCTGGCGGCGAGGGCCTGGACGGAGCCGACGATGTCGTCCGTGAGGAGGGCGATGTGCTGGACGCCCGGGCCGGAGTTGAAGACGACGTACTCCTCTATCTGGGACTTCTTCTTCCCCGGGGCGGGCTCGTTGATGGGCATCTTGACCAGGTTGTTGGGTGAGGCCATGACGATGGAGCTCAGGGCCGAGAAGTCGGTGCAGATCTGGGAGTCGTCGACGGACCAGAAGCGGTGGAAGGAGAGGCAGCGCTCGTAGAAGGCGCAGGCCGACGCCATCTCGTCCCACGACTGGTTACCCACGCAGTGGTCTATGCGGCCGAGGGGGACGGGGGGCAGGCTGCCGAGACCGCCGGACGTCTTGGTCCTACCAGAGGCTCTGGGTCCCCGGAACCCCGGCATGAAGGGTCCCGTATACGCCGTATACGGCGTGCCACCGCCGCGTCGATCGATGAGGGTGTGCGTGGTCTCGCCGTACGTGCGGATGACGGCCGTCGTCACGCTGCCCCCGTCGTCGCGCAGCGTCTGGGGCGGCTGGACCGACCTGGCGCCCGACGCGACGGCGCGGTCGTACACGCCCGCGACGTCGTCCACCTCAAAGGCCACGTCCCTGACCGCATCGCCGTGCTTCTCCAGGTGCGCGTACATCTCGGCCAGGACGGACCTCTCCTCCGGGCTGATGGGCTCGTCGGCAGGGAGGTGCTCGGCCGACCGCAGCGGGCAAGTCAGGACGAAGCGCACGTCGCCGTTGGCGACGACGTACGAGGCGAAGTACCGACTCCCCGTCTCCAGGCCGCGGTAGGCGACGTGCTCGAAGCCGAAGAGCGTCGTGTAGTACGAGGCCGCCTGCTTGGCGTTGCCCACCCACCATGTTACGTGGTCGTAGCCGACAAAGTTGCCGCCCGCCACCGCTGCCGCCGCCGCCGCCGCCGTCGCCGTCTGTTCTGAACTGCTGCTTGGCTGGGCGGTCGTTGCCATGTCCGCCGTCCTCGAACGGGCGTTGTCCGAAATGGCAGAGGGAGCCATCCTGATGTGTATAGGGAGGGAGAGGAGAAGGGTGTGCGTTATGCCGACGGTGGATAAAACGTCAACCAAGGATGAAGCTTTCGATAGAGCAGAAGTATAATAGTATGGATGAAAAGAAGAAGAAGAAGAAGAAGAAGAAACTGAGAGAGAAAATGACAATGGCATCCAACATGCCCGCCTCAAGGCACTCCCGCATTCTTTATAGCATTATAACGCAGAACACGCTTCTCCTCCTCGGCCAACTCGGAAATTGTCCCGCACGCAGAAACTTGCTTAACCCATCTTCTTCTTTCGACAGGTGCCGAACAAGGTGCGGGAAAGCCAAAAAAAAAAATGGCCACACACATATTCAGAGTCAAAAGGTTGGGTGGTGCGCGGCTATTGGCGGTGGCAGCCATATGATGGAAAGGAGGGGGGGGGGAGGGAGGAACTCGTGACAGGAGACTTGTGAACGATACGGATAAAAGTGATTCATCATTGGTGCCATGACATATCCTATAGGCTTTGTGTAGGTTTTTAAAAGCAAACAGCCTATCCTCTCCCCGTCTCCTCCTCTCTCTCTTCTCTACTCTTTCTCTTCTCTTCGTATTTGACCCAACACGAAATGTATATCAGAGTTGAATACTATTCCGAAACCCAGTCCTTTTTTGGTCTTCATATGAGAGAAGAACAGCGGATGGAGCCAAAATAGATACTTCCATAATACATCGTAACACTCGACATTATCTCGACACAGATGAAAGAGGGTAACACACCATGTGCATGTATCGAATGCTGTCATCCATGTTCAGCCGGGACGGCAGGCGGTAGTCAGCCCTAGGAGCGGAAAGTTGCCGTTTGGCGGGGCTAACCGGTCCAAGCCGAGAGTGGCCGCGCCGGTCCTAGTCGCAAACGGCTACCAGCATCCCGCACTTACACACCACCATTTCCAGCTTCTGACCACCAAACCTTCCAAACGTCAGCATCAATGTCATTCGGCGTCATGGTCCCGTGATAGTATGAGAGTGATTTGAAAGGACAAGAGTTGGGTTCCCCCCCTCCAACTATAGAACAACAGTCGTATCCCGTTGAACGCCACCCGTTCATTTGACAGTTGGCCATGAATTTTCCTCGGTGTAAACCTTCTCGGCTGGCAAGGTTAGTTTAAATACCCAACCTCCTTCTTTCTATTGCTGGGTTCCCTTATTCCTCTTCCGTTCTTGGAAAAAGAGGTTGTTGTTGTCATTTTCTGAGAGGGGTTTTCTGCACACTACCGCCCGCAACCTTTTTACCTCGAGTGAATATATATCTCCTCGGAGACCTGAAAAGGGACCGAACGAAGGACATCCGTGACACGTACCACACACCCATCATGTCGACGGTGCAGCTGAGCAGCCACGACGTGGAGGTGCTCGCCAAGATCAATGATCCAGAGTCAAATCCCGCTGCGGGCATCGTAACCGACGAAACGTTACCGCGGGACCCCCACGTCGTCGATACGAGCGTCTACGAGGCGGTGGTGGCGGCGGAACGCACCATCATTCAGACACTGCAAAAGCTCGAGGCCCAGCCGGGCCAGCCCATGTCGTCACCGCAGGACGAAGGGGAAGAACGACAGCAACAACAGCAAGACCCGGCCGTCGTGGAGGGCTATAGACAGAGCGCGTCCGCCCTTGAACGCCTGGTCGCCGAGCAGCCGCGGTACGCCAGCGCGAGGAACAACCGTGCTCAGGTGTACCGCCGGCTGTACGGGGATGCCATGCTGCTGAACGTGACGGCGACGGGTGCGCCCATGCCCCTCGTCAGGGAGCCCGACCGGGCGGAGAAGCTGGCCGCCTCGGCCACGGTCCTGGACGATCTCGAGCGGTCCATTGCGCTGTTGACGCCGAGCTCGGCGAGCACGCCCGTCTCCCCGCAGGCCGCGCGCACCCTGTCCATGGCACACACCCAGCGCGCGGCCATCTACCTCAAGACGTCCAAGATGCTGGCGTACCGGTCGCTCGACATCGACGAGGCCCGGCCCGAGGCGCGGTGGCGCACCCTCGACTTCGAGGAGGCTGCATCGCGCGATCTCGCCCTGGGGGGCCGCTACGGGAACCAGATCGCCAAAGGGCTGGCTGTGAGCGTCAATCCGACGGCCAAGCTGTGTGGGCAGATTGTGCGGCACGCCATGAAGGAGGAGTATGGGCCGTCGTCGTTTGGGGAGCGAATCGAGAAATGAAAACACGTGTGCGTGTGTGAAGACGGAAATGGAGATCAAAAGTTGATTTTTCTTTGTTTCTCGGATTGTTCTAAGAGCAACGTGCTAGCGGTTGGGGGGGGGGGGGTATATGGTCGTTATCTCGAGAATCCTTCAGATCGACCGTGCAGATAGTAGTAGTGCATGAGCCTACGACGCATCCTGACCAGGAGCGCCTAAGATGTCTCGACAGGTTTGCTTGTAAGACCCAGGCGTCTGAATATATATATATATATATATATATATATCACGTTAGACAGACGAACCAAGTATTGCAGCCCTGGCATCAAGGGAAGAAAACATACCGCAGCCCAGTGTGGATAGTCTCGCTGGTCGTCTTGCCCTTGTCCTTTTCCTCTCGGGTGATGCGCGTGGCGGCAGCTGACAAGCCGACGACGACGGCAAATATGGGGTCGGCGATCCTGGAGATGACGTACGTAGGCGCAGGCATGATGATGGTGTTGCGAGTGGTATCGACCGGTTGCGCTGTTCTGGCTCCAACTGGGACAATATCGTCATAGAACCATCTCGCTGCCGTGAAGCTATCCATCCGGCCGGCGTCGGCACGCTCAAAGCTCCGGGATAAATTATGAAAGATACGTAATTGGTCAAGTGGGTAGCCACCCGGCAGAACACCGGCTGAAGGGGGAGGGATCCGGAAAAGCCCTGCGGGGGGTACGACACTCCCACACCCACAAAAGTCACGTGCTCCTCTCCACCAATTCTGCTTGGCTGGGCCCCGACTGGTTGTGTGTGTGCCCCAATTTGCAAAGCCCACACATTTTTCACCACGGGCCCTGGAAAAGAAAGAAAAAAAAAAGAGTTACCTACCCGAACTTGTTGAAATCTCTCTTCCCCTTCCGCAAGTTCAACCCACCCACCACCAACCACCAGGACACAACCGGGCAAGATGAAGTTCCTCAAGGTCGGCCGCGTCGCCATCATCACCCGCGGCAGGTATGCCGGTAAGAAGGTACGATAATCTCCTGCGCTCCTTGTCCCTTGACATTGTTTCCTTCATTATCCTTCGATCGAACGCACCCGATATGGCGAACTGTGATGGGGAGATGGAAGGGGCCGGGGCAGCAACACGAGAGGGGGGCAAAAACAACGACATGCGACGAGGGGAGCGCGTTTGAAGAGAGGAGGCACCAAGCCTTTTTCTTCCCTCTACAGGCAAGGTGCTTCGGGAGGGGGGGGAATGAGGAAGGAAATTTTTTAGACGTCAAAGCGTGCTGTTTCCCCAAGGATATTACGAAAAGAGGAGGAATATGAAGGACAGAGGGGGGGGACGATTCGATTGGTTCTTTTTTCCCCTTCTGTCCCTCTTGTTGTGTGGGATGGATGTCGAGATCGACAAATTGGAAATCCTCTTTTTAGCTGACGGAAAGAACAAAACAAAACAGGTTGTCATCATCCAGCCCATTGATAACGGCAACAAGCCTCACCCCTTCGGCCACGCCGTCGTCGCCGGCATCGAGCGCTACCCCTCCAAGATCACCCGCCGCATGTCCAAGGCCCGCCAGGAGAAGCGCTCCAAGGTCAAGCCCTTCATCAAGGTGGTCAACTACAACCACCTGATGCCCACCCGCTACACCCTCGAGCTCGAGGGCCTCAAGGGCACCGTCTCGTCCGACACCTTCAAGGAGGTGTCGCAGCGCGAGGACGCCAAGAAGACTGTCAAGAAGGTCCTCGAGGAGCGCTACAACAGCGGAAAGAACCGTTGGTTCTTTACCCCTCTGCGTATGTTCTTCCAGACCTCGCTGCTTTACCACTTGTTTTCTTGTTTTTTTTTTCCACGCAATCTCCCTCATTCTTCCTTTGCTGCCCCCTCCCCCCAACGCACCAACTTCCTTCCCGCGAACCCCCAAGATAAAAGAGAGAGGAGCCGAATATTAACATGACCCTTGTACATAGGCTTCTAAATTATCAATAAAAAAACCTTCTTTCCGTCAACAAAAAACAAACAAAAAAAATTGGTCCGGGAGTTTTTTATTGCGAGGATGTTATAGATGAATGGGCATCAAAATCCAATGCTTTTCCACACGAAAAAAAGTGTCTGGCACTTCTTCGCACCGTACGCAAACCCTCTTCTCTCCCAGTTTATGGAAGAGTGTTTTCTTCTTTCTTGAACAAGGAGAACACTCGATACTATGAAATGAATAACTTGAAGTCACCTTGTGTTGGTCATGATTCTGTGATTCACGTCTGTACATGTAAATCCACATGCATTCGTCCTTTCAGCATTGCGTGCGTTCATCGTGCCAACAAACCCCCCTCCCCACCCCTCCGCAGATATTCAGCCTTGAATACGAACATTTTCCTTGGTATTATTTGTTACCTCCTGCCCAAAACGCACTTGGTAACACTGGTAACATCCCGACGGTTATTCGATGGAACTGGCCGTATTCGTCCCAACAACAACAAACAACAACAAATGACCCCCGTGTTCCTTTTTTTCTTCTATAAATACAACACGAGCGCATTGGCTCGCCGCTCACCCGTTCCATCCACCATCCTGTTACGACTCTTCTGCTTATTCCAGTCATCACTAACTAGTAATAATACTGGCATCGGTACTGACTGGTTATTAGCACTCTGCCGACCGATATTACCGGGTACGAGGTACTACTCCGTACAAGCACTACTATGGTCTTATATAACCCCCGAGTCCCAGCTACGTCCGCCAAGGGTTCAGTGCATACGTAACCTTTTTACGTATGCTTCCCGACACCAGAGAATACAAGGAGAAACAAGCGTAAATAAGTTCATAAAAGAGAAACACACCTTGAAAGAAAAAAGCAGGGGGGAAGGCCATGGAGGATGAAGAATAAAGTAAGACACACAAAACAAGACCAGAAAATAGAGTAAAACTTTCATTTCTACGTTTCTATAATCGATGGATTCCAACGCCGTCTAAAAAGATGTCGATAATTTGCAACGAATTAGACCCTTTTTTTTTCATGATTTCTCTTTCTCTTCTTGCCAAACTTTCATGTGCGTGCGAAGCATCCTTTCCCTTTCATAGCTAATACACAAACAACATCCGACGCACTCCGCCGCCACCCCTCCAAAGAATAAGAAAAAAACAAAACGGGATTCAACCAAGCAGAGTCTCCAAACTTGTAACAAGAAAAAAAAGAAGTGAAAACACAAGGGAAAGATAGAAGGTTCAAAAATATATGTACTCAGACACCATGAGTGGTGGGACGCCGAGGGTGTGAAAACAGAAATAGGGATGTCAAGAAAAAGAGGGGAAGAAAGGTTATAAAGGGACTAAGCGGTCTCTATCCGAACCCGACCCCCGAGGCTTGCCTTATGCAGTAGCCATCATGAATCAATATTTGTGGGGGCGGCGAAGATGGGGAGGGGGAGAAATGAACCCAGCAAAGGTATCATCAACCCATTCAAGTCAATACGCGCCATGGATGGATTTACTGGGCAGGGACAGCAGCGGGCTGTCCAGAGACACCGAGGCGGCTGCCAGCCTCATTGGCCAGCTTGCGAGGGTCGTACTCGGGGGCGTAGGTGGGAGCCAGACCGCCGAAGAGGGTGAAGAGGACAAAGGCGGAGCCGATGATGATGGTGAGCTTGCGGAGGACGGGCTTGCGGGCACCGAACTCAGCCCAGCTGCGGTTGAGGTCACCGATGTGGCCCTTGAGCTGCTCGTATCCGAGCTTGTAGTAGACCATGCCACCGAGGGCGATGGAGTAGCCGAAGAACTGGAGGCCGGTAACCTCGGTGCCCCAGATCATCATCGAGGCAATGACCAGGAGGATATCCTTGAGGACACCGCAGAGGGTGAGGACGACGGCAGAGGTCTTGCCAATCTGTAGGTGAGGAGGCACGGTTAGCGTCGCGTCTCGCTGTCGGGGGATTCATTGCGGGAGGGAGAGAAGATTGGCATACCAGGAGAACGACGGAGACGTTGAGCATGAAGGCGCAGAGACCGTTGAGGAAGAAGGTGAAGAGGCCGACGTTGTAGACCTCCTCCATGCTGCAGCGGGGGACCTCCCAGATGAGAGCGACGACACCGTTCATGACAGCGCAGATGGGGGCAAAGTAGTAGACGGAGACGAGGGGGTCCATCTTGAAGTCGGCAGAGCTGAGCAGGCGCTGGACCATGGTGAGACGGAGGGCCTCGAAGATGACACCACCAATCTGGTACAGGACACCGATGAGGACGAAGTGGATCTCACCCATGGAGGCGATGATGACACCGACGACGATGGTGGAGACGTTGAGGAACTGTCGGAGGTTGGGCTTGGAGACACCAATCATCCAGCTGGAGATGAGGACAGCAACGGGGGTGGTGGCCTTGAGCATCTGGATAAAGGCAACCGACAGGTACAGGTAGGTCAGGTTGCCGCAGATGAGGGAGAGGGAGAAGAAGATGCCAATGGGGACGACGGCGCGGAGGTAGACGCGACCGGTCATCTTGACCTTCTTACGGCCATCGAGCAGGGTGGTGAAGTGGGCGAGGAGCTGGGTCATGAGCGTAGCGAAAGCCTGGTGGTAGGTGGTGAGGATGACGGGGTAGCCTGGGATTCAAGAGTCAGCGAACGTGTCCATCCTGTTGATTGTTCTGGTGTCTGTGTCTCGTTGAATGGCGTGCATCTCGCTTGCATGGCAGCTGAAAGGTCTTGGGAGGAGACATACGAAAGTTGAGGGTGTCGAGCAGCCACTTGTTGAACAAGATGACGGAAGACGAGCAGCAAATCCAGACTCTGCAGGTGAGGCCAGGTTGTCAGCAAAAGTCCCATCATCCTCGACGTGTGCAGAGCACTCGCCCGTGAGAGTGCATCGGCTAGCGACGAAGCCGACCGGATGCAGAGATGCAGAGAGCACTACTTACACGACGTAGAGACTGGGGTGGATAGAGAAGCCGGAGGACGAAGGCTTGTCGACCTGGGGGTTGACGGTGGGGAGAACGGGCGAGTTGCTCCCACGAGGAGCCTCGCCAGAGACGCGGGTCTTTTCCTCACCAGACATGATGACGGTGATAAATGAGAAAAGGTATTGAAGGGAAAGAGTAGGAGGCCGTTAATGATTCTCCTGGAGCCTGACCGTGTCGACGTTGGCGAGTCGAGAAGATGCCGTCGATGTGTTTGCGTGTGGTGTCGCGAGTGTGTAGGTGTTTGGTAGATGGAGGAACGCGAAAAACGAGCGGACGGACAAAGCCAAGAAAAAGTCCTGCAGGAAAGTTTCAAGGGGGTCGGATAAGAAAAGCAGAAGGGGAAGCAAAAAAAAAGGAGGGGCGGCTGCTTTTTTGGTTTCTGATCTAGCGGGACCCGAGGGGTAAGAGGAACAGAAGATTTGATAGCAGGGGGGGATGATGAAATTATAAAACTTCTGTTCTTTTTTTTGTGCAAGATGTAAGAAAGAGAGAAGAAGGAAAGAGAGTTTTGTTGTCGGGCACAACTCTATGAAGAAAGAGAAGAAGATGGGGGAGAAAGGACAGGGCAAGCTGCTAGTGAGAGGAAGGAGAGAAGAATCGGGAAAGGGGGGGCGTGGAATGGGACTGGGGGCGAGGCGAGAAGAGGCAATTAAAAGGAGACCTGGATTTTGGCGTTTCCCCTTGTTGACCAGGGAGTTGAGCCAGTACGAGTACAGTACGAGTAGAAGTACGAGTAGAAGTACGAGTAGAAGTACGAAGTAGTAGTAGTATACGATACTCCGTACGTATAGTGCTATCTAGCCCCCTTGGAAATTGACCTTTTTTTTTTAATCTTTTACAGGAAGCAGAAAGCAGCCAAAGAGGGAAAGAGAGAGCCACCGAGAGAGGAAGAGAGAGAGGTCTGGCGAGAGAGAATTTGGTTTCGGCTACTCATCGTATACCTAGGCTGTGCACTGGAATTCGGTAGTCTCAGGCGTGCCGTGGTCTTTCGTGTCAAGTACAACGCGTGTATATCGTCTGCTTCCCAGCGCACATGTATCGCACACCCGTCCCCAAGCTCGTACCCGAGCCAATGCACCATTTATTATTACGTCGTACCGTGGGTATTACATTTCACTGTGTGTGTGTAGCTGTGGTCTATGTGAAGGAGAGTGGAGGCCCACCAGGTAGGTGCAGGAGTTCAGGGGGTAGGTCAGGGGGGCTTGTCTAGGGGTGTGGGACTGTATGTGTGTATGTGTGTGTGTGTGTACGAGTATGTGTGTGTAGGTGGGTGGGTGGGTGGGCGTACGTCTAATGTACGAAAACGGTTCTGCTGGCTGCTTTCAGGAGAAGGACCAGCAAATTCTCTTCTTGCTTGTGCCGTACCTCTAAATGTTTGAGGGCTTTCGGTTCATTGATTTTTCTCCTTGTTCTTCTTCTTCTTCTTCAACTTTCATCAAATGTCTCCACTTCAGGGCCGACATCCATGATATCGTACCTATTTCCTGCCCCTCGTCGGCAGCTCCTTTCTAGTACCGCTACTGTGATAGTAGGCTGAACTACATGACTGGCCTCCTCTACACTACGAGGAGGGGGGGCAGTCAATCGCAGCTGGTGCACCCTAGCCCGTACCAGTAGAGAAACGGCACTGGCTGAACAGTGGATGGACACTGAAGGATCCGCCCTCCTGGACGGTGGAGTCTCCTTTCACTGCAGCTGCGGATCCAATCCTCTCTTCCACGTCCTTTGACTGGGGGGCCCGTGGGGGGGNATCACATCATTCATATCCTATCCCCTACGAGTATGGATACATAGTATGCGACCTGCACATGCATACCGGTGGCGGCGGGGGGGGGGGGGGGGGGGGGGGGGGGGGGGGGGGGGGACCTCTGTCTTCACTGGACTGTCTGGCTGTAGCGAATCAATGCCCCCACGTTGGGGCGATCGACCTTTGAGACCGTTCTTTCTCGGTTGATATCACTCCTCAGTTGGTGCTGACGACGTAGTATTACTCGGGTAGCAGTACGGAGTGGTAATGCCTAGTACTAGCATGGTGGTATTAGCCGTTTAGATGGGCTAGATGTACCCATAGCTGTAAGATTGGGGCCAGCCTGGCCTCTAGGCTCTCACTAGTCGATGAGGTTTGCCTCCTACAGATAATTACAGCATCACTCTGCTCCGATATGCAATACTCGTTACTCGTAGGCTGACATTTAATATCATCATGCAACTGATATTAAAGTTGCCTTTCCAACCCCCTTCCACCACGGCCGACCTCGCGCCGGTTTTGCCTTGATATGTACGGGGTCCAGCTTGAGGCTTAGCGGCAACCTGTAGCCCTCGCACTCCCCTACTGTAAGAGTTCATTCTAACATGCTGCCTGTGCATCCGTTTCAATGCACCGGCACAATTGTGATGAGGCAGGTGTTCTGCACCGACTTGCCCGCATTTTTCTTCTTCGTTTTAGGGCCATTCAATACGGGATATTTTTGGAATCAGACATATTACAGGAACAGCCGTACATTGCAGCACGGTTGTCCGTGCCATGGAATCCCTCGGTCTCTCCTCCCTTTGCCACCACTCCCCCCCCCCCCTCCTTAACCAAGACTCTAGTACCCAGTATTACGAGTAATATTGTTCCGTAGTAGCGTGTCGTGCGCGTTCCGCTCGTACCTGCAGTCGCTCCGTACGTACGACTGACTAATATTATTTACAGTTTTTTTTTTTTTTTTTTTAAAAAAAGAAGAAGAAGAAAAGGATACTGAGCACCGCACAAGTCATGATTTGCTGCATCACCGTGTCGCGTGCTCGCAGTATCAGATAAGTATCATGTACCATATGGCACCCGTACATATGCAATGTTATCCGGTGTCAATTCGGAATGTCGACTCTAGCGCCCGGCGGACCGTCTTATATCCCATGAGAACACGAGTGATACTGACAGACTACTCGTAAACCCAACAGAAGTATCATTACTACGGGATACTAGGTAGGCAGATAATGCTATCTATGCTGACACTCCATACTAGCAGGTATTATCAGAGGTAGCCGCGTGTCCACTGTCAGGGCATGGACGCACTGCACCAATGCCTGCTGCCATCACATCATTCATATCCTATCCCCTACGAGTATGGATACATAGTATGCGACCTGCACATGCATACCGGTGGCGGCGGGGGGGGGGGGGGGCGGACACCTGACGGCTTCGGTCCCTACGAGTACGGGAACGGGCAGTCATCACTGGTGCCGCACGTGCTACCTCCTTCTCGGTGTATTGCTAGTCGTATCAGGGCTACCATACTGGTAAGTCCCCCGGATGACAAGTTCATGGAGATATCTGGAGTCGCCAAGGCTAGAGTACCGAGACAGATTGCCAAGCAATCGCTGTGCAGAATGCTTCCCGCACAAGACGCTTGTCAGGAAAGCTTGGCACTGGACAGCCCTGCCGCAATCAGACAAGAGAGGCTCTGCGGTATCTTGTCTGCTGGGTAATCAGGTACCTCTGCTGATACTACAGGTAGGTACTATGACCACGACTACTTGCTCGACTCTGGTAATAGGCAAAACGGACAAGGCCGAGCAATCTTGGGCTTACACGATTACGGCGGGTAATACCCACTACAAACAGAAAGGACAGTCAGCATACTTGCACTCTCCTGGATGCCCCCTTCCCATATTCAGACATCCCTTCTTTCTTTTTTTCTTCATTTATTGCGTGTTTTACACTGCCACCAGCGCAACAGCGCCTACGTCTGCCTGTATATGTTTACAAGTAATAATAGACAGAGGCAGGAGAGGGACACCTACCACTTATGGAAGTTCCTCCTTACCACTCAAGTCCGACCAATACTGACTATCCCACCAGCTCCCGCGTGTGTACTGTTTCCTTGTTTTTCCGCACAGACATGCCAGACGATCCTCTCTCCCCCTCGCCCCCAACAGAGAGGGAAAGGGCAGGAAGCGGCCAGGTAAAACACCTGATAATACCAGATCCCTCGTCGAATTTCCTAGGAGGGGCGGAGGGGGGGGGCGGGTGAGGATCCGTCCTGGTACGGCGCATCGTCCGGTTATCGCAATGCGTGGATAATCACTTTTTATATTTCTTCTCTTCTCTTTCTCCCCTAGGTGTGATCTGTATTTTCCATCCAATATACGCGGTAATAGCAGCCAGTCTTGCTACTCGTAGATGAGAAGATTTGATTAGTCTCATTTCGGCGCAGACTCCATATCTACGTCATGATGTCCCAGCTAACAAGAAGATATGAGAAGAAGAAGGAATTATAATCCCTCTCTCCGTATGACATTGGAAAACAGAAGAACGGGGGGGGGGGGGGGGGGGGGGGTGTGAGGTGAGAAACAAGATTCTCTTCCTTCATGGTTCCTGTGGATCCCCGTCGTTTCAGGAGCCCACCAGCTTCCATGTCAATCTGTCTTCTTGTTGATCGGGACGGGCTCGAGTTAGGGTGCATTGACCTGATCAGACATGACCTGATCAGACAGTAGCTGACTCGACACTGGGAGAAGGAGGTTGATGGGGTCAAGGCTACATGGCCACCTACGAGTACAAGTATTAGCCTGGAAGGGTGACGGGGCACTAGTGATCGTAGTAGTGATAGTAGTAGCGATAGGGTAATAGGGGAGAGGGGAATAGAAAGATAAACGTACCGTGAAAGTATCAGATACCGAAGGACTGCGCCGTACACTCCCTACGAGTAATGCCCATCCTGGACAGACCAGCGCCGTCTTCCCGACTGCCAGCCTACCTAGGCTACGATCTGCGCTTAGGGGGGGCAATGAGCCATTGAACCCACAGGGCATGGGGGAAGGAACAAGCCTTGGGAGCCTCATGCCATGTCACGGTCGTCCAGAGGCTAAGGGTGATGATCACTGAGTCCTGATAATTCTACTCGTTCAGACGATATCCGTGCTTTTGGATTGGAAATATTCATGTAAGAATACATATTAAAATATGCACTCTCTTCGGTTCTCGTCCGTCCAGACATCAGTCCTGTCAATGTCAGTCCGAGCACCTGTTCCTCTGCACTACGTGCTACTGAGGTAGTAGTCATATCAGGGTGGCATGGTCATGCCCGTGTCAGCGTATCTCTTCACGATG